TGATTGGTTAATGATCACGGGAAATCACGGGTAGATCTACAAAAATTAACCAATCATACGAATGTCTGCCCATGACCTATCACTCCAAACTTCCAATTCAGATGTCCCAGAAGGGCTGTGACCTGCTCTTGGTCCCCACGGTTGGATTTTTTTTCTCTGGTTACTCTCCGGTGGCCTGGTTAGTAGAGTGTCTTGCCAAACACTTTGGTCTCATTCGGTTCTCCAGTTTCCTGGTTGATAATTCTAATTATATTAGTTATTATAATTAATATAAAATAATAAAATTTAGAAAAGCTGTATTAATGAATGACAAAGAGTATTATGATAGCATGGAGTTAGAATATATAAATGACGATGTAGCAATAGATGATGATATAGTAATAGACGATGATGTAGTAATAGATGATAATGTGGTGATAGATGATGATGTGGTGATAGTAGAACTAGATTATACTGACTTAGAGGTAGTAGATTCTAATAGTGTTGATATGAACACAGAAAGTTCAAATTATAATGAAGTTTCATAGTTGCTAACAATGTTTCAATATAAAAAAAAGGCTAAAAGATTAGGATGTAGTCCTGTTAAGCCTTTTTATAAAATAGCATCAATTAAAAATATATAGAATATTTGATTTGCCATCATAAAAGTTGTTACTCACAAGTTAAATATAAAAAAAATAGCACTATATCAAATCTGTAGCGATATTTAAAAAACAAACATCATCTCTCAAAGGTTATAATAGAAAGTGAACGAGTAAAAATAAAGGAAAATGATAGTGGCAAATATAAATTTCAAATAATAGCAGAACCTTCACAAATAACGTTAGTAGAGGTATTTAGTAAATCAGCAAAATATTTGCTTAATCATTCTAAACAAAAAAAGCTTAACAACAATCTCGCTGCTTTTATAACTGAAGAGCTTCAACCATTTTCTGTACTACAATCATGAACATTAATAAAAATAATTGAGGATCTTGATCCTCAGGCCAATATATTAAACAATGATCAATTAAAAGAAATTTTGATTAATGCGGAAGATAGAGTTTTGCAAAGTATGCATAAGTATGTGCAAAATAATGAGATTTGTTATGTTTCATTTATGACTAACATGTAGACTTCAAATAATAACAATCTATACATTGGACTTACGTTTCTTGGATAAATAAAGATTTTTAAATACGAGAAATGGTTGGTGAAATCTCACATTTTTCATATTCCTATATAGCTGAGTGGCTTAAAAAAAAAATAATTGAAATTTTAGACAAATTTTAGCTTAGAAATAAGGTTATTTGTAATATGATAGATAATAGATCATATGTAAATTGTGTTTAGAAAGGTTATAGGAAAAATATAAAATATCAAAAATCTTTTGTTTTGGTTACATCTTGCGATTCGCAATTAATAATGCATTAAAAAAATGTCCTGAGATTACAAACCTTATTAAAAAATGCAAAGACATTGTGTTACATTTTAGTCTAAGCCCTAAACAAAAACAGTTTTTATTAACAGCTCAGATGTCAATAGAGGATTGGAATAAGTTGCTTTTTATAGTTTGTGATGTTTCAACACATTGAAACTCCACTTTTTTTTTGCTAAAACGATTAACTATCCTTAAGTCTGCAATATATAGATACAAGTTTCTTTTAGTTAAAGGCAATGAAAGTAGTATATTAAAAAGCTTTGAAGAAAAAGAGTTGTTATTTGAAGATTAGAAAAAGGTAGTTTGTTTGGTCAAGCTATTACATTCATATAAAGTTGTTTCAATACAATTATCTGGTTCACAGTATCTGACACTCTCTCAAACATAGTTCATGATTAATTATATCAAAACAAAAATTAATATATTAATATCTAATGTATCAGTATCTAATAATGATATTAAAAAATTTGGAAATTATCTTTGAGAATCAATTCAAACATGATTTTTAGAACCAACAAAATTAATTTGACTTGCTGCTTTTTTGAATTCATGAACTAAAGATATACAGATATTCACAGAAGAAGAAAAATGTTTTACTATTCTAGAAGCACATATAGAATATCATGAATTGGTTTCTGATAATTATGAGTTTAATGAAAATCAAATGAATTCTTTAATATCTGATAATATTGAAGAGGATATTTTTTCTATTTTAGAAGCTAGCTCTCAATCAAGTCAAAAAAATAATAATGATAAATTTGACTTATACCTATTACTATCAAAAGCTCCAAGCAAAACTAATGTATTTCAATGGTGAGCATTAAAAAAAACAGAATATCCAGTACTTGCAAAACTAGCCCGCAAGTATCTGTCAATCCCAGCCACTTCAGTATCATCTGAACATCTTTTTTCATCTACTGGTTTTATAGTTACTAAAAAACGAACAAGCCTTAATTATCAATTTGTTGAAACGATTTTGTATCTCAAAGCGGTTCTGAAGCTTTAGTCAATTTCACATGTTTTTAAATAAGAAGGATGGTTTGTATTAAATTTTAAAAAAAATATTATATTTTTTGTGATTTGATCTTTAAATTGTAATTTAAATATGTTTTTATTAATTAAACACATATCTGGATTTACAATTATATATGCTGCTAATTGGAAATGCCGATAGTAATATTTGTAATCAAATTTTATACTTAAATTAATTTATAAATCACGAAGTAGTTGTAAAGAACTTATAAAAAAAGGTATATATTTAATGATTCAAAATTTTAAATTTAATCATTATTAATTAATTATTAATAATTATAATCTTAAATTAATCGCATATTCAAATATTTGATCTAAAACATTATATAGATTAGAATAAAAACTAGTTTAAATAGTAATATATAAATTTATAAAACCTAATACAGATTTATGATTGTAACTATTCAATGCAAATAAAAAATTCTGTATTTAGTTTAGTTTTTTTATTTTCTTTTAATCCTTTTCTTTTTTTGCTTGTATTTTTCTTTATATTCTTGTGTTTTTTTAAAAATTTTTTCTTTTTCTTTTACTTCTTTATGAGAAGATATTATCAGATTGATAATATCTTATTGTAGAGTGGTGGTCAAACAAGCTTCTAGTTAGAATATTATCTTAATTATTGTAATCGTATTTTACTACAGTCAGGGCATTTACCAAATTTGGAATTGACGATCTAGAATGATCTATGAAATTTGGCGAAATTTGATTGGC